CAAAGCAGGCAGAGAGATAAAGAAACAAATAAATAAACAAAGAGACAGCAATTAACATAATCAAGGAGACAGCAAACAAAAGATACAGTAGACAGACACACAAACCAAAGGAGACAAACAAAACAAATAAACAACAAGGAGACGAAGAGAAAGGAGACAAGAGAGGAAAAGGAGACAGAAGAAAAAGAGACAAAAGAAAAGGAGACAGAAGAAAAAGGGACAAAAGAAAAGGAGACAAAAGAAAAGGAGACAAAAGAAAAGGAGACAACGAGAAGGAGACAAAAGAAAAGGAGACAACGAGAAGGAGACACGAAGCAAGGGGAAAAGGCGACAAGGACGCGCAGAGACAAAAGGAGACAAAAGGAGACAGAAGAAAAGGAGACAGAAGAAAAGGAGACAAAAGGAGACAGACGAAAAGGCGACAGAAGAAAAGGAGACAGAAGAAAAGAGAGACAAAAGCAAAAGAGACAAAAGAAAAAACAGACAAGAGCAAAGAAGACAGAAGAAAAGGAGACAGAAGGAAAAGAGACAAAATAAGAGGAGACAGGAGAAAGGAGACAGAAGGAAAAAAGAGACAAAAGAAAAGGAGACAGAAGAAAAAGGGACAAAAGAAAAGGAGACAAAAGAAAAAGAGACAAAAGAAAAGGAGACAAAAGAAAAAGAGACAAAAGAAAAGGAGACAACGAGAAGGACACACGAAGCAAGGGGAAAAGGCGACAAAAACGTGCAGAGACAAAAGAAGACAAAAGGAGACAGAAGAAAAGGAGACAGAAGAAAAGGAGACAAAAGGAGACAGAAGAAAAGGAGACAGAAGAAAAGGAGACAGAAGGAAAGAGAGACAAAAGCAAAAGAGACAAAAGAAAAACAGACAAGAGCAAAGAAGACAGAAGAAAAGGAGACAGAAGAAAAGGAGACAAAATAAAAGGAGACAGGAGAAAGGAGACAGAAGGAAAGGAGACAAGAGACAGCAACCAACCTGCTGCTCCGCTGTCTCTGCTAATTCGAGCAGTTCAGTGGCTGTCAAAGCCGTTTTGCTTTTGTTTAATTCTCTGCTGCTTTGTCTTGTGCTGCGCAGCAGCAAACCAGAGCCTAATCAGCAAGCAGCAGCAAACAGAGACAGACACATACATCACTGTCTCCTTCTTCTCTCTCTCCTCTCGCTGCACCTCTCCGCAGCATAAACACCACAAAGTGCTACAGCAGCAGCAGGACCAGCAGCAGCAGCAGGACCAGCAGCAGCAGCAGGACCAGCAACAGCAGCAGCAGGAACCGCAGCTGCACCAGCAGGACCAGCAGCAGCAGCAGGACCAAGACCAGCAGCAGCACCAGCACCAAGACCAGCAGCAGCACCAGCACCAAGACCACCACCAGCAGCAGCAGGATCAGCAGCAGCAGCAGCAGCAGCAGCAGCAGCAACAGGTTCTGGTTACCTAGGCCCGCGGGCATTAGGACTTGAAGCCTTTTGTGCGACGTCAGTACACTGCACAAGGGGCCGCGAGACTGCGGAGACACACCACACCCCACACCTACCTAGCTAGCCATCCAGCTAGCTAACTAACTGCCTAGTTGGCTAGCTAGTTTGCTAGCTAGCTAGCTAGCTAGCTAGCTACCCACTTGGCTAGCTAACCAGCTTGTTAGCTAGGTAGCTAACTAACTAGTTGGCTAGCTAGCTAACTAGCTGTCTACCCGGCTAACTACGGAGTTAGTTAGCTAGCTAGCTAGTTAACTAGCTTCTAGCTAGTTAGCTAGCTGGCTAGCCGCATGCAGCTACCCACAGCCGGCAATCTCCCCTGCAGACAGCTAACCAGTCGCTGCAGCAGCTAGCTATAGGGCACGCAAACCCTAGACCCTCTAAACCCCAAACGGCAACGCATAAACCCTAAACCCCAAACCCTAAACCCTAAACCCCAAGAGCAAACTCAGCGGCACACACACGCACCCCTTTTGACTCGCAGATGTACGAGACGTCGTTCTTGATCTGCAAGACAGAAAAACCCTAAACCCCAAACCCTAAACCCCAGACCCTAAACCCTAAACCCTAATCCCCAAATTCAGAAGCAAACCTTCCTCTCTAAACCCTAAAACCTAAACCTAAACCGCCACGGGTGTTCGCCCCAGTTTGAAACCCTAAACCCTAAACCCTAAACCCTAAACCCTAAACCCTCACATTGCATTCGAAGCCCTTATCATCCACGAAGAGACAATACGAGTCATCGCTAAACTGCACCAGCCGGCAGTTGCTCCTATACTGCAGCAGCCACAGAGCAAACCCTAAACCGTAAACCCTAAACCCTAAACCCTCTGCCTCTAGGAGATCCTAGAGCCCCTAAACCCTAAACCCTAAACCCTAACCCCAGCTCTAAACCCTCACTGCCGGTTTGCCTTCTCCTGCTGCATTTTCGTCATACGAAAACCTGAACGGAAGCAGCGTAGGCCTAGATCCTAAACCCTAAACCCTAAACCCTGAACCCTAAACCCTAAACCTTAAACCCCAAACCCTACACTCACACCCCAAACCCTAAACGCTAAACCCCAAACCCCAAGCATTAGACATTAGACCAGAATCCGTCGGAACTAAACCCTCAAACCCACACCCCAAACCCTAAACCCTAAACCCTAGACCCTAGACCCTAAACCCTAGACCCTAAGGTCTAGGCCAAAGCTGAATCCGGCGTTGCCTCCCTAATAGTGCATGCCGCACCTGATTGCAAAGCCTTGCTGCTGCTGCTGCTGTTGCTGTTGCTGCTGCTGCTGCTGCTGCTGCTGGTCTGCTGCAGTGATGAGGGAGATAGCAGGCGGAACCCTCCAAGTTAAAATGCTGCTGCCTTTCGGTAGCTGTGGGGCCCGTGTCCCTTCGAGTTGTAGAGGCTGCAGCGGCAGGGGCTCAGCTGTCTCTAAAAGCGTCTCCTCTTCATTTTCTTCGTCTCTCTCCGCTGCACCTTCTGCTGCAGCACCAGCTGCCAACTCCGACTCCGAGTCTCCCGCTGCTGCTGCTGATGCTCCAGCTGCTGCTGCTGCTGCTGGCTCTGCAGCAGCAGCAGCAGCAGCTGGAGACACGTCTTCACCAAAGAGATCTTCGTCGCTCGCAAGGGAGGGATCGTCACTTGCTTCGTCTCCAGAGCCAAATAGAGCTGCTGTTGTTGCTGCTGCTGCTGCTCCTCCTGCTGCTGCTGATGGTGACGTTGTCTCTGCTGCTGCTTCTTCCTCGGGTGTTGTTGCTGCTACTGCTGCGGCATCTGATGTCTCTTCCGGTTCTTGTGCTGCTGCTGCTGCTTCTGCTGCTCCCTCCACCGCTGAGGCCTTCGCTGCTGTTGTTGCTTCCTCTTCTGCTGCTCCCATATCTTCAGCAGCAGAAGCAGTCACATCATCATCATCAGCAGCAGCAACAGCAGCTGCTGCTGCTGCTGCTGTTGCTGCTGCTGCTCCTGCTGCTGCAGCAGCCGGAGCTTCAGGGCGCGGTTCATCAGACTCCACAGGCTCCATTTTGTGGCAGTGTTTGTGGCTTCCAGCAAAACCGCTCAGTCGCCCCCCATGTCCCTAAACCCTAAACCCTAAACCTTAAACCCTAAACCCTAAACCCTAAACCCTAGGACATAAATCAAAAACCCATTATTCTGGGAAGCCCGCGGGTAGAATGGAAGGATTAGAGTTTGTCAAGATGTGAATTACAAAGGTATTGGCTTAAACTTTGCGGATTAGGGTTTAGGGTTTAGGGTTTAGGGTTTACTGGGCCTGGGGGGCCCCGCGGGCCCCACGAGTGGCGGCGTAGTTGTTTGCTCTGTTTGTTACTAATAAGCTTTGTTTAGATATATATAATATATAATATACATATTTATTAATTGTATATATATTAATTGTATATTGCATGCATTTTATTTTAATAGTTTGCTCTCGCCTGACGATAAAGGGTTTACTGAGGAGGCCCTGCTGCCATTAGGGTTTAGGGTTTAGGGTTTAGCAGCAGCAGGCCGTGCGGTTTGTTCGTTTGAGTTCAGTGTAAGAGGAGACAGAGGGACTCTTAATAGAAGAGACCCTCAGACTCAAGTAAAGATATTGTTGCTGCTGCTCCTGCTTAGCTGCAGGGACCAGCAGCAGTTGCTGTAGTAGCAGCAGCAGCAGTTGCTGCTGCTGCTACAGCAACTGCTGCAGAAGCAGCAGAAAGGAGCCTGTGCGTGTGTGTGTCTCTCTCTACCTTTAGGAGATACAGGGACACCGTAGCAGCTGCTGCAGCACCTGCAGCAGCTGCTACGGTGTGCCTGTCTCCTTTGTGTGTGTCTCCCTTTCTCCTGCTGCTGCTAGCTGTCTCTTTCTGGTGTCTGTCCCCTCTCAGTTCAATGGCTCTGTCTCTCCCCCTGCTAAGAGGCCCAGCAATTAGCTTGTAGCTATCTAGCTAGCTAGCTAGCTAGCCAGCCAGCTAGCTAGCTGGCTAGCTAGCTAGACCCGAAGTAGCTAGGTGTGCAATAGACACGGAGCAACGGCAATAAACGAAGAGTCCTCATGTCTCCTCCTTGAATAAATTAGGCCCTCGCTGAGGTGTATATACACCTCAGGCCTCCTGAGGAGACAACAGCTGCAAAACAAATGGGGGGCCCTGCATGCATCACACATGCAAAGCCCTAAAATGGAGACAGCTGCTTGTGCTAGCAGCGCGAAAGAACCACCAGTGTCTCCTCCTCTGTCTCCCTTAGCTGTCTCCTTTTGATATCTCCCTCAACAGAGCTAGAAAGGCCATTTCAATAGAAAGAGCTACGGGCACCTTTGCCTCGGGGGCCCCGAAGGGGGGCTTGTGGGGGGCCCCAAGATACCCTTATAGGGGCCCCCCAACGATGGGCCCTCTGGAGGCCCCCAAGGAGACCTTTTAAGAGGCCCCCAAGGGGACCTTTAGAGGGGCCCCCAACGGGGGGCCCTCTGACAGGCCCCCAAGGGAGCCTTGAGAGGGGTCCCCAACGGGGGGCCCTCTGAATCATCCCCCAAGGGCCCCATTAGTGGGGCCCCCACGGGGGCCCTTAGAGGGGTCGGTCTCCAAGGGGGCCTTTATAGGGGCCCCCAACGGGGCACCTCTGAGGGGCCCCCAAGTAGGCCCCATCCCTTATTACCAGAAAAGAAACTTCGTGTCTCCATTAGAGCTAGAGGGGGCCCCCCAGTGTTTAAAACCCCTCCTGGGGGGCCCCTCTTCAGTTGGCCTGCTGCTATTAAGGGCCCCTCCAACTCTAAGCGGGGCCCCCTCGGGTTCTTATACCCTGAGATGAACATTTAGGGGCCCCTAGCGATCCCTAGTAGGCACATACTACGGCGCTTTGGGGGCCCTTTTAGGGGCCCCCTAGGGTAGATTTGGGTACGGTGGGGCCCCCAGGGGGCCCCCTGCTGCTGCTGTCAGCGGACAAAGAAACAAGCTACGGAAAATGAAACAAAAGGACCACAAATAATGAGGGGCCCCCAAGAAGACAGTGCTCGGGGGGGCCCCAAAGGGCACAGGAGGCCCCAAGGCATACAAAGGGGGGCCCTCAATTGTTTAAAGGGGCCCCCCAAAAGCAACCACATAGCGGACAACAGGAGGCAGGGGCCCCCGCGATCTGCAACAAGAAAAAGCTGCCCTTAGCAATACAAAAGAACAACCAAGGGGGCCCCAGCTCGGGGGGCCCCCCCCCCTTTAGGAGGGGAGGGGGGGGGGG